CTTTATTGAGAAATTTAAAACAGAAAGTCCAAAAAGCTAAATCTGATGTGTCTTGAGGACTTTATGGCTGCTGTGTGCGTGTGTTTGTTAAGTCCCCATGATTGTAGTAATGCATTATTATAAGTTTACACCACTGATCTATAACAGAGAACTGGATTGCTGATGATGATATAGAAGTGAAGCCACTGCGCCGTCATATTGATATTCCCTAGTGCTCCCATATATTCTGTTGAATTAACAGTAAATCATACAATTATTTATGAGAAAACCACCTAATGAGTCAGCTTTCTTATATCTGAAGTATCCCTGTACGTTCTTATAACACAAACGTGCTTCATGTAAAAGGTTTTATTAAGATTTGTTTAATGTTGGGAATTTCCCCTGCCTATTAAAAAAGTATCATATTTATTCATATTCATTACAGTATCAAACATCAGATAAACATGATGAACATCAGATTGCACTGTATTTTATGTATGTTCAGTTTTATTCTTAACAGTTTTAAATCATTTTAAATCAATTTTTTAATCATTTTATAATTTTGAAATTCCTTGTTTTTATCATTGTTAATTTTTTATGATTATTTTAATTCCTTATATGTAAAGCACGTTGAATTACCATTGTGTAAGAAATGTGCTATATACATAACCTTTGCCTTACATTAATAATTAATTCAACATAAATGCATAACATTTCACTTCTATGGAAACTGTAATGCTCGAATTTGCACGTCTAAAATAGATGTTGCTCAATCAGAACATAAATAAATACACACATTGTTTTCCTGCATAAAGTTTTGTTTTAAACTGTAATATTAGTAAAATGCCATAGAATTTGCACATCTGAAATAGATGTTGCTCAATCAGAACATTTAAATACACACATCGTAACATCATTCAGAGTAATAACGCTGACAATATACGGTACAGACTTAAAGACAAGAAGCTTTATTTCCAAGATGCTGCATGGTAAGCTTTACATTTTAATACAATATAGAGCAACATAGTAACAGAGGCTTGTATTGTAAAATTAGTTGTATATTCTAATCAATTTCTGATACTAATACCAGCTACAGTATATGTTCATGTTTAATATTTCCTGCATAAAGTTGTTTTGTTTTGATGAGAAATAAAACCAAAAGCAGTTTGTGGTGTACCATTCATCAGTGTCTTTGCAAATCTACACGATCACTATAAACTGACACATTGATTAACCTCGTTCTTTTGTCTCTATACATTCAGAGACATTTACATAGATGAGCGAACATACATAAAGAGACATAATCGCCTGATTTTGTAAATGTGACTAATTACATGTGCATTAAGCACCCAGTTTGCACTTCTC